GGGTGTGGGGTGGGTGTGGGTGGATGTGGGTGTGGGGTAGGTGTGGGTGGGTGTGGGTGTAGGTGTGGGTATCGTTCTCTTCCTAACATTTACATCCACACCTACACCCACACCCACACCAACGCCCACATCCCACACCCACACCCACACCCACACTCACACCCACACTCACCCACACCCGCTTAATAACTTCTGAAGGCACTTAATTCGTAATAGATACTGTTTCAACTTATCATGAGTTAAGGTTTATAATGCACATATTAATTTTGTTCTTCATTGCTGTCCATCTGCCTAACGATGGCTTCAAGATCAACTGTCTGCATTTACATTTGTAATTTAAAAAGTTCTAATGAATCTTTTGAAACCTATCTAATTCAACAGTACGCTTCGTCATCGATTTATATCACATAGAAATTCCAAAAGATCTGTACTAATTGTCGATAGAGAACGTTTTGTTTCAAAATTTTCGATTTTTTTCCAAAATTATCTATTTTATAGGTACGTAGGTGAAGTTAGCACCATATTCGAGTAAATCCTTCGCATATTCGCTCAGGAAAGCGTTCCAAGTGTACCAATCAGCGTTCCAAGTAGAACTCAACGAGCTCTATCTAATGGTAACTTTGAATTTTCCATAGACCAAACCAATCCTGAGAAAAATCCAAAATACTGCACTTTTTCAATAGGAAAAACCAAACCTACTTACTAAAACCCGCCCATATTCGTCCAGGCGCGCGTTCCAACCGTTCCACCAGGGTTCCAAGTACAACTCCACGAGCTCAATCTAATGGTGTCCTTGGATCAATCGTAATCCAAACCATTGGTGAGAAAATCTCAGAATACCAGATTTTCACTATACATATGGTTACTAAAACCTGCCCATATTCGTTCAGGAGCGCGTTCCAACCGTTCCAGCAGGGTCCCAAGTAGAACTCCACGAGCTCTATCTAATGGTGTCCTTGGATCACTCGTAATCCAAACCAATGGTGAGAAAATCTCAAAATACCAGATTTTCACTATACAGTTGGTTACTAAAACCTGCCATTATTCGTTCAGGGGCGCGTTCCAACCGTTCCAGCAGGGTTCCAAGTACAACTCGACGACCTCTATCTAATGGTGTCCTTGGATCAATCGTAATCCAAACCATTGGTGAGAAAATCTCAAAATACCAGATTTTCACTATACATATGGTTACTAAAACCTGCCCATATTCGTCCAGGAACGTGTTCCAGGTGTTGGAGCCCAGTTCCAATTACAACTGGATGAGTTCTAGCAATTAGTGTGTACTGATTGTTCACGGTCCATACGCTTTCTCCAGAAATCATGAAATAGTGGTTTATCACCGTAAGACGTGTAACTATCCAAACTACTGTAGTTGCGTTTTTGATTTGTCATGTAAATCAGTTTCAGCTGTTTAGTTCATTTTTGAAGTATGAATCCACGAACTCCACCAATTGGTAGAATTTGATTTTTTTTTCTGGTCAATACCCAGTCCTTCGACACATTTTATATAAAAGGTATATGCGACACGAGTCTCATTAGCACCTACATGTGTACAAGGAGAAAACTGCTTACGAAAATTGTGATAACAAAGTTGTTTCCTTTTTAGTGTGAAAACCAGGCTATTGGATGAGTTTTTGACATTTTATGAAACATTACTACATAGAATATTCAGAATGCAGTCATTGTTGCAGACTGAGGACGGAAATATTATCACCTGAATTGTCAAACTGTTCAGAATTTAATAGATTAAGAACAATATGCGGTTAACGAGATGCTATCGACATATAAAAGACAGCATTGACCATTCTGCTTGTATTTTGATTTCCTATCATTTTTCTCAGATGAATTCTATAAGAAACTACCTCTAATAGGTATTGCATACGTTGTTACTTTTTCAGACGACTACTCAAGTAATTCGAATGAAACTATTTAATTATACAAACTGCATGATA